AAGTCGGACGCTTAACCGACTGCGCCACCCAGGTGCCCCAAGAAGAGCTCTTTAAAAAAATAAAAATTGCAAGAATGGAAAGATAATGTTGGAGATTAGAAAATTAGAAGATGAGCGCAGGAGATTCAACATCTGCGCGGGGCTCGAACTCACGGACCGCGAGATCGTGACCTGGCTGAAGTCGGACGCTTAACCGACTGCGCCACCCAGGTGCCCCAGGTACGCCTCTTTTAAAAAAAGAAGTAACTCAGGGCGCCTGCCTGGGTGGCTCAGTAGGTTAAGCACCCGACTTCGGCTCAGGTCGTGATCTCATGGTTCATGGGTTCGAGCCCCGCGTCGGGCTCTGTGCTGACAGCAGGGAGCCTGGAGCCTGCTTCGGATTCTGTGTCTCCCTCTCTCTCTGCCCCTCCTCTGCTCATGCTCTGTCTCTCTCTGTCTCAAAAATAAATAAACATTAAAAAAAATTTAAAAATTAAAAAAAAGAAGTAACTCTTTGTGTATCTCATCACTGAACCCGAATCTAACACACATCACAGACCGAGGCATATTAGGAACTCGTGTACTTTCAACTCAGAGCAGATCACCCACTTGCTACTTGTCGCTTCACATCTACGGCAGCATATTCTTTGCATCTTCCAGCCACATTTGCTGACAAAGGAATGCATTTTAGTCCGTCCGTGGATTGGTTTCTGTGGATTATTTCATCCATCTTGCCTGAGGGAGAACAAGCATTTCCTTGATGGTGTGTGGCTTTTAAACTTTCACGATTAAGTGAGAAAATCTCAAAAGAAGCATCTAAATATGTGTCGCAAGGTAGCAGAACATTGTGTAAAGAACCAGAGGGAGCATCTCATAACTTTAGACGTCACTGAAAAAGAGAAATGACAGATTTGTCTCTGGGTTGTGGGTCTTCATTTTTAAGGCTATTTCTGTAGCAGTAAGGAGAGGTTAGCTTACGACACGGTAACAAACATTCCCAACATCTGTAGCTTAAAGCAGTGCTGATTTGTTGCACGTCTGGGCACATCACAGGTCAGCTGTGGGCTCTGGGCCACAGCGCCGTCACTCTGGGATCCAGCCTGACCAAGCCGCTTCCTTCCGGAATATTCTCAGCCCTTGTGGCAAAAGGAAAAGAGAACTGATCAATCGCACACCGGCGCTCAAGGCGTCTGTTTGGAGGTCACGTCTGCTCAGATTTCAATAGCCAAAACAAGTCACATGGCCACACTTAACTCCAACCAGGCCAAGGAGTCCGTCCCGCCCTGTGCCGAGTAGAGGCTCACAAATATCTGGTCCTGTGGCTCCGATGACATCCACGCTTGCTCGCTGCAGACACTTCACGCCCTCGTCAGCGAAGGTGTCAAGGCTCATCGTTACTTGTCAGGTGTGGAAATCCACCCAGCAGAGTCTTCTTCAGATTTCCTCCTTGTTTGTCCAATGTCACACGGGAGCTGACTGAACCATCGCGATTGACCCACCCCTCCCATGTGGAGAAGTCTCAGGCTTTGCCATCTTCTAGCTATTTGCTGGAGCTTGCATCCATGAGGATTATCTTCCATCCATGGTGTCTTTACAGGAAATTGTAAAGCCACTGCCCACTTCGTGAGGGTTGCTGTCGTTGAAATGGGGCTGTCTCATAAAGGAACGTACACAAAGTGTTCTTGGCGGCCCTGCTCATTGAAGCCCAAACTGGGATCGGCAGAAACGTCCGTTAATGGGGGAATAGATATATGTGCGCGATGGAATGTTATACAGCGGGGAGAACCAATGAACTATCCAAACAACTTGGCAACGGAAGTCAACAAGCAAATCAACAAAAATACAAACGATGCGACCTGCAGAAGCCTCACAAATGTGATGCTGAATAGAATTCGAATACGTTGTTTCATTTACACAAAGTTCAAGCACATGCAAAACGAGTAGGCGGTTGTTAAAACCAGGATGGGGGTCGCCAGGGGCAGCGAGTGACCAGAAGGAGGCACAAGGGCGCCTGGGTGGCTCAGTCGGTTAAGTGTACAACTCCTGCTCTGAGTTCAGGTCTTGATTTCAGGGCCGTAAGTTCAAGCCCTACGTTGGGTTCTATGCTGGGCTTGGAGCCTACTTTAAAAAAATGGTAAATCAATTAAAAAAAAAAAAAGGAGGCATAAAAATGGTCTGCTGGCACTTTTACTTTTTTTTTTTCTGTTATGTTTCTTACTCTGAGTGCCGTTTATATGGATGTGCTTACTTCCCAAAGATCCATTGACCTGTATCCTTATGATTTGTACACTTCTCTGTGTAGAGATTATACTTCAATTAAAAGTTTCAGGCGCGCCTGGGTGGCTCAGTCATTTAAGCTTCTGACTTCGGCTCGGGTCATGATCTCATGGTCCGTGAGCTCGAGCCCCGCGTCGGGCTCTGTGCTGACAGCATAGAGCCTGGAGCCTGCTTCGAATTCTGGGTCTCCCTCTCTCTCTGCTCCTCTCCTGCTCATGCTCTGTCTCTCTCTCTCTCTCTCCTTCAAAAATAAATTAAAAAAAAAAATTTTTTTTAAGTTTCAAATAAAAAATTGAAAATCAAACTAGATGGCATAACCCATAGATCCCTCAACCAACCACGTATAAACTGGAAATATAGAACCAGAAGTGACAGAGGAGGCCAAACATACCACTAACCCCCTTGCTTGTGGAGCTCCACTCCTCCCTCCGTCTACCTTGGCCGTTTCGTATCCTGTGACTGCCTGACATATGACAGGACACCAGGGTGTCAATCCATATGTGAACTGTTAGGAAAGATGAACTTGGCTCTTGTTTTTAAATTTTTTTTTCAACTTTTTTTTTTTTATTTTATTTTTGGGACAGAGAGAGACAGAGCATGAACGGGGGAGGGGCAGAGAGAGAGGGAGACACAGAATCGGAAACAGGCTCCAGGCTCCGAGCCATCAGCCCAGAGCCTGACGCGGGGCTCGAACTCACGGACCGCGAGATCGTGCCCTGGCTGAAGTCGGACGCTTAACCGACTGCGCCACCCAGGCGCCCCGGCTCTTGTTTTTAAATAAATTAACATACACGGCAGCCCTGGTATTTTCTTCCCACTTCCAAAAGATCATGTTGAAACCCCCACTTGGAGACCGCAGTCTCTCCGTTCGAAGCTCATCAAGGCTCATCCTTCGTTGATTCTCCCCCAGCCAGAGGATGCTTTCGGAGAGACATGGGCGCCATCAGGAGCTGTCTGCAAGTAGTGTGAGCTCCCTGGCAGTCGTGGCAAGAGGCGAAAAGATCGGATTTTGGAAGTCTCTCTTGTGAAATGTTCTTCGTGACATGTATCTATCAGTGAATTTTTAAAGGAATTCATCACCCTCATAGGACTCTATATAGAAGATATTTAAAGGACAGTGCTTTCAATGAGAGTTTAAAAGAAGGTGTAGAAACCCTTTTCAGGTGTCTGTTTCTTGATCAGCCCTATATGAAAGCAAAAGGAAGAAGAGCATTCAAACCTAGTTTAGAGAAACCATCTCTGTGATGAGTGATGTGGCCCTCTTCCTACGAGCTTCTAGTATGTTCAGAAACGAATCTCAGTGACCTTCTTATCCCTTCTGTCAGATACCAATTATCTCTCTGATTTAGGGCAGAAGCTAGATCTAAAGAGCTAGTGCTGTCATGGCTGAGCTCTCAATGCCAGACGCACTGGCACGTGTGGAGGGATACATGAGAGAGCCGGGGGGGTCCCAGCTGGGCGCTCTCCAGTTGGGCACCCTGCCACGGAAGCTGAGATGTCTGGCCTGCCCTCTCTCCCAAAAGGAGTCCTATAATCAACAGTGTCCGGTTAAAAGGAATAGAGCCCCCGTCAGGCCTCTTGAGCAAGAGTGAGGACTGCGGCATAGAGACACAGAGGTTCCCCTGGATTCAAGGACAGAAGATAAAGTTCACCAAGGTTTTATGGAAACTGGGGCCTGGCCTCTTCTCCCTCCACTTTTGTTCTGGCCCCGGCTGGCCTGTCTCCGCCCTGCTTCTCTCTGAGTCTCCCTGCTTTCTCCCCCCACCCTGGGATCACACCGTGAGCCCTCTGAGTCCACTCACCACTGACTGTCCCAAGACCTCTGCACCCCAACTCCAAATTCCCAGGAGAGAAATGTGGCCCAGCTCATTGTGTGAGGAAAATCCTGCAAGGCACAGGTGGAAGCCAGTGGAGACACCACTTGGGATCCCAGTGGGGTAACCCTGGACCAATTAGCCAAGAGGAAGAGGAGCTTGTGAGGGTTAAGGGTCAGACGTTGTGCCCCGCTGACCCCACGGAGCCAGGCATCAGGCATGCGGGCTTGGAAATCTCCCCCACAACCCAGTTCTGCTCAAGGATCCAAACGAGGGCTCAGCAGAGGCCCCGGCAATGACCCCTGAAACAGCATGTGTGGTTGAGTGATTACGAAAATAGCCCTCATCCTCTGCTCTTCTCTGTATCAACACCCTTGCAATGTAACTCAGCAGCCCCTCCATCAGGAAGTGAAGTCTGTTTCCTCACTCCCTGAATCTTATGATTTGCTGTGACTAAAAGAATGTAGCAGAAGTTTTAAGGCAGGGCGCCAGTTTTAAGCCCAGGCCTCAAGAGACTTGCATCTCTGTCTCTGTCTCTCTGTCTCTCTCTGCCTCTCCTCCCTCTTCACCCCCCAACCCTGCTGTCCCGCTCAGAATCCGGACGCCGCCATGTGATAAGCCTGCTGGAGGGATGTGAGAGACACGTGGAAAGAGCTCCCAACTGGGCCACTTCCTCCAATCAAGGCCATCCTAGACCAGCCATTTGACCACAGATGCACAGGTGTGTCCAGCTAAAACCTGGCCAGACCAGAAGAACCATCCACTTGACCTGCAAACCCATGAGCAATAATAAGTGTGTGCTGTTTTAAACTAACTTTGGGGATATTTTGTTATGCAGCAGTAGCTAACTAATAAAGCAAGTCAGGACTTGGGTCTCCACACTGGTCCAGGGAAATAGGATTAGGAAGAAGTCTATCAGCTTGGCTCCAGGGGCCAACATCTGCCCCTAAGTAGTTACTCCTCTTCCACTGCCAGCCAGGCTGCAGGAGCCGCTAATATCCCTGTACAAAAGACCCAACCGGCCCATGTGTGCTCTACTGGGGACTGACCTTTGGGGGTTTACAGGACACTGGTCAAAAGAAACGTTTGCTCAGACAAAGCTGATGGCCTCAGCAGAGGTAAGATTAGCAAACAAGAGTAGCTGGGCATCGAAACCATGATCAGAGAAAAAGAGAGATAGGTTCCTGCTTGCCCCAGCAGAATGAGAGTCTGGGTCACCTAAATGCCAAATCGGATCAGAGTCCAGTAAGCAGGAAGAAGACCGAGGCACCAGCCTGGATTGTGCCCTGCCTGTCGACTGAAGTCCGATCTCTTGAGAGATTATTTCTCCTTGCTCTGATTCTCAAGTATTTGAATCCAGGGTGCCTAAATACCAGGCTAGAGCTAAGGCTATCTGGGTACAAAATTTTGCCATTTACAAATGCATTTAGGGAGGTGTTTTTTTTTTTTTTTCTAAGAAGAGTAGCCACAGCTTTTGTAAGATTCTTAGAAAAGATACAGCTCAAAAAGTGTAAAAACTCCCACTGCAGAGAGAACGCTGGACGCAACACGACCTGTCTGTATCAGTGCTCCTACAGGTCTTTAACGGTGCATTCCTCTGTCCACCTGTCCTTGTACTTATCCATGACAATTCCCATAAGACGCTGTAACCATATTATGGGATCCACGTAATTTTGGAGCTATCTATCTGTTACAGGGAATATTACCTTAGCTGAAACTTACAGTATTTATTTGTACTGTATCTAGCTTTATGTATCTATATATTACTATCACATACATATCACTGTATTGTGTGATACGGCATGTTGATACTTTGGCTCTGTTACTTTGTTACGTATCTACCTTAGTGTGGCTGAGAATTATCACGTGTATATGTAACTGTGGCTGTGTGTGTTACTGCATCTATGAGTTATTACTGTAACCACGCAACTGATTCTGATACAGTAGGCTCTACTTCTCCACAGGGATACGTCCCAAGACCCCCAGGGGTTGCCTGAAATTTCAGATAGCACTGAAATATATATATACAGTTGAATTTATCAATTAGGCACAGTAAGGGGTTAACAACAATAACTACAAATAAAACAATCATACTAATATAGTGTAATAAAAGTTATGTTAATGTGGTAGCTCTCAAAATATCTTAGCCTTCTATACTCCCCCTTCTTCTTGTGCTGACGTGAGATGATACGATGCCTACGTGACCAGATGAAGTGAGTGAATGATGCAGGCATGTGACATAGCGTTAGGCTACTGCTGACCATCTGATGATACGTCGGAGGGAGGACTGTCTGCTTCCAAACCCAAACTGACCGCAGGTAGCCAAAACTGCAGAAAGCAAAGCCACAGATAAGTGGCAACTTCTGCATCATGAGTAGGGCTCTAGCTGTAGCCTGTAGCTATGTGCTCCTGTATTTATGTTATCGTATCGAGGTGTTACGGCATGAGTGGCTGAAGCCATGCTTTCCTGCAGCTAAATGTTACTGCGAATTTGCATTTACTCCAAAAATAATAATAGCTACCATTTGTTAAGCACCTTCTACGCGTCAGACTGCCTTCTGTTGCGTGCTTTAAATACAATTATGTACCTTACTAAATCATACAACCTTGCAAGGTAGGTATTATTAGACCCATCTTTATAGGTAAAGAAACTGAAGTGTAAGTAGACTACGTTATTTGCCCAAGGTCACAAACCTGCATGTGGCAGTGAAGGGCAGAGGAAGAACCTTGAACCCAGGTCTGTCTGACTACCAGAGCTATATGTGACCCCAGCTGCGTAGCTCCATAGACCGTGCCCTGGGCTTGTGTGTTTAGAGCCTAAGTACAGAAAATGGCTCCTTGTCTAAAGATATGAAGGGGTACTTGCTGGCTACAGAATAAAGTTTTTTAAACTATCAACTTCATTTCTAACACTTTTGTTGAGTTCGGAGCTCCTGAATCCAGGAACAATTAAGTTACTAAAAGAACCTTGATTGAGTTAGCAGACAATAAATTTAAAGAACAAGGAAAATTCGCTCTCCTAACTTTCAGTGAATTTATAAAGAGAGAGATGGTTACACGAGCTTAATTGTTGATGAGCTCTGTGCTTATGAACTTTATCGATTCTAAAATTGCCTGCAGGCTAGGAAACCCTTGGGCCCGTGACAGATGTCCTCCAAAAAAACCTCCATCACCAAGAATAGAGCCCTTATTCACATTTTCTGTCCCCACCTCTTCCATACCTTGCAATCCATAATGACCTCAAGGCTTCCAAGGAGGCTCCAGAAAAAAAAAAAACCCTCTGCTTTCGGAGCTTCCCATTTCAAGGCTGCAGCCCAAGCCCAGCGAGTTCTTCTTGGCCTTGGCTTCCTGGCCCTGGCTTCCCAATTCCAAGGTCCAGGAGAGAGCTCTGTTAAAAAGAGGCCAATATGGTAGGGCTTTGAGCTGGAGTGCTCTGGAAGGAGTTCCCAGAGAGGCCTCCTCTATCCCAGCCCAACCACCAGCCCCTCTCTGGGCACAGCCAGCCCCAAGAACACTTGTAAGTTTGGCTCCCTTGTTCTTAGTGTCTATCCCGCCCCTTCCAGCCCCAAGTAACTCTCCCAGTGCTGTGTGTGTTCCATGGGACCCCCTGGTGCTCACTATCCTGGCCCCTCCCAGGCTAGTTATTTCCTGCCCACATGCTTCCCAACTCCATGTGGGTTCCACTCCCGGGAGCCAAAATCTCTCTCTCCTTCCTGGTGACCACCAGCTACCTTTATGGGTAAATGGGGACAGAGCTTTAGAAGACTCCTTTCCACCCCCCCCCCCCGAACCCGAATACTATTAAAGCACAGTGGCTTCCTGGGACTAATGCCTAGAGTATGTCTAGATTATTAATGATTCTCATCTTGAACATGCACAGCACTGAACACCTTTAGATCAAGAAGGTGGACCCTCGGAAATTAAGCGTCTAGCTTAGGGATGGTAAGTACAAAATGTCCCACTCTCCCATCCACTGCCGATGTCCACTGCCGACATCACTAATCAATCCCAGGTACTTTCTCCCACAGAGCTTGAATGCGGCTCCAGAATCCTTCTCAACCCAGGTCTCTGGCTGCCGCCAGCCGACCCGAAGTGGCACATGGAATAAAATTCGAGTCTCTTCTAGGCCAGCTCCTTTGTTGTGCAGGTGAAGAAACTGAAGCCTCGCGGAAAGGCAAATGGCTCCAGTTCACACAAGTCAGAAGCAAAGCCAGGAGGAGTTTAGAGTCTCACTTCCAAGAAGGACCCAAAACCCTGGCCGAGGAGAAGCCAGTGACACCCCACGTTTCCATAGCAACCCTCGCCCTGAGGTTTGGGGTGAGGAGAAGGAATAGGGCTTTTGCAGCGTTTCAGTTCCGACAGAGGAGGACCTAAACCTAGTCTTTACACATGTCAGCTTACCTGCTCTCACAAGAGCCCTATGAGGAGACGCCCCTATTATCCCTACTCTACAGATGAGAACACAGAGGCACACAGATGACAGGGGACTTGTCCAAGCTCACGTAGCTGCCGAGTGCCAGTGTTGGGATTTTAACTCGGTCTGGCTCCAGAGTTGAGTTTAACCACCCATGGTACCAGATGGCACGCATACACATGCACACCCGCACACACACACGCACACACACACGCACACCTACCTCCGCCAACAGCGCGTTGAGTGCTACTTTCCCCGCAGCACAGGACATAATGCAGCTTTTCAACTTTGCCCATGGGGTAGGAGAGCAATGGTCACCGTGGAGGACTGGTCCTGGACTCAGTCCGGGGCTCACCTGGGCCAAGAGCCCCACCAGGGGTCCCATCACCAAGTCTTGGCAGGTCAAGTGCAGGAGAGAAGGGGATGGGCAGCCCCTGTGCGTGCATGGGGTTCCCGCCTCTGCAGAGGAAGGCCCATCCACCGGAGACCTGAGCTGGAAACAATAGATCATCCGCTCACTGGGATTAATGAGGCTTCCCCATGTTTGTGGAGAGGTGATTAAGGACCTTGTAGCTGCTTCGCCTCCTGTCATAGAACAAAAGCCTCAGCAGCCGCTGTTTTCAGAGATGTGCGGGGGGAGCCCGGGCAAAGAGTTTCAGGGCTCTGCACCCGAGCGTACTAAGTGCTCTTCTGAGCAGGTGCCGAACACCAGGGCACTGGCCCCACCGCTCCCCAGTCTCGAACCCCTGCCCGTTACTGCCCAGACCCCCCGTACGTATTTCTATACACCAGCTATGCCAGGTACTGGGGATACACAGACAGTCAGGACAGAAACAGCCCCTGCCCTCACGGTCTAGCAGAAATACAGACACTAAAAAAAGTAAATATATGATGATTTATTTCATTGCAAGTGTAATTAAGTGCTGCCCAGGAGAAGAGCAGAGAAGCAGAAAAGCATATGATAAGGGCCCTGCCTCTCTAGAAGGTCAGAGAAGGTTCCCGGGAGATGTTGGAGGAGGAGGAAGGGCATCAGTCAGGTCTCTTAAGGAGGTCAGCGTGACAGGACCTGGGAACTGCTTGTATGCCAGAGGTGAAGACAACCTTTCTGACCCGAGGAACGAACATGATGGAAACAACACTGACCCACACAGAGCACCAGCAGGAGGCAGGATGGTGAGTAACGGGCAGCTGGCCAGACGAGCCTGGGACACAGGAGCCCCATCTGGCCTCAAGAGGCAGATGAGGAGGACAGTGTAGAGCCCTGCGCGTATCTCTCATTGTTCCGGGGCACTCTGGGGCATGCCCTTCTCTCAGCAGTGGCAGAACCCAAGACCACAAGCCCATCACACAAGTACAATTCAAATTGCTACTTCCATTACGTCTACCAACATCTCATTGGCCAAAGCAAGTCACATGATCAAGCCCTAAAAGAAAACAGTGGCGAAATGCGCTCCTGCTCCTGCCGCCAGGAGGCCACTGCGGGTGTGTGGATCTATCATACCACTACAGGGGAGTACGGAGTTGGAACCCATAACTCCCTCTGGCACATCCAGTCGTCTCAGCCTCTGTCAGTCCCCAGAGGCCAACCGTTGCCCCTTAGAACACTGATCCCAGCTTCTGCCCGAGATGCTCTCTCCCATTCATCCCATGGCTGGCTTCTGTTCATGCTTTGAGCCTCAAGCTAACATTATCCCTTTCCAGAGTCTTCCAACTTGCCCAGGGAAGGAATACAATAGGCTCCGGGGAACACGTGGCATCATCTCTGCCACAGCCCTCGGATCGCACAGAATAGAGGTTTCCATCCGTGGAATCAGATGGCCACCAAAAGTGGACAGAGGATGAGGCAGATCCCCAGAGAAAGAGGTCCAGGGGCTGGATGCAGGGAAACATGGTCACAAGAAGCAAAGGCAGGGAGAGGGTGAGGGGACCGAGGAAAGATGCCTGGAACGCAAAGGGACAGATACAGGTCAAAGAAGTCACAGAAAGGGACCTGGGCTAAGAATGTTCACGGAGCCGAGGGCAGAGGCAGCTTCAGAGAAATAGGACCAGAGAAACAGGTCAGCTGCAGAGAAATAGGGGCTGTGGGTGAGAGGACGAGCCGGCACGTCTTCCTGCAAACGTGGTGTTTGCAGTTTCCCCTCCGCTGTCTCATTGCCCTCGGCCTGTCACCGACACTCAGTGGTGGAATCTGAAATCTAATTTGGCCTTTGTCAGCTCCGCAAATGGTGTTCTTTAGGGGTGATTCTCTGGTAAATGGACGGAAATTCTAAATTGGAAATCCACATTGGCCGTCCGGGACCCGTTCTCGAACTCCAGGCAGGTCATTGTGAGAGTGCTAATATCGGTGACAAATGGGAAGGCGCCAGGCTGCTTAGGCAGCGACTTGTGACAACCGGGCCCACCGGTCGCTGGCCCAGGAGATCTAATCAACCCCGGGCCTGGCCCCTGATAGCGCAGCAGCAGGAGGAAATAACTAGGCCCCAGAGGATGGGCCCAAAGTAATTGTGAGAGCAGGGGAGGGGCCTTCGAGGGCTGTGGGGGCACAGACAGGGCAGATCCTGTCCCCTCTTCTGGTGGTTGTCTCCTCGCCAGATGCCAGGGAAGAGCCCCCAACATGCAGAACGACCATGTCCCTCCCCTGCTCAAAAGTTTTTGGAGCAGACACCTGTGAACCGCACCCCCCCCAGCCCCACCTGCGATGTCAGCCCCTCCTGCCTGTGGCCAGTTCTCCGCAAGCTCGGGTCCACAGCACTGAAAAGTCCCACCTCAAAGGGGTTGTGTCCGGGCATCTTTCTGCTGCCCCCCAGGACCTTCTCAAACATTCCAGGAGCTTAGGAACTCACTTGGTTGTAGTAAAAGCTCAACTCAGAAATGCAAGAAAGCTAGTGTCCCCAGGGGCACCCTTCAACCAGTGGGGTTAGAAGGTTGGGAAAATACACCTCGGCGCTGATCCTTCAGGCAAGACGGTTCTGGAACATTCATAGGTCATTTCATGGGAACATGCTCCCATTGGCCCCAGAAGCAACCTTAATAACTTACTCCTACTGTGGCTTCTCCCTCCCTGCCTTCATCTCCCTATTCCCTGAGATGGTCCCAGACGTGAACCACCTGCACGGGGTCCCTGCCCCAGGCTCTCCTGTCAATGTGTTTCCAACTATATTCCTCGGGTCGCCAAGGCACCTTGGGATGTGTCTGGCCCCTCCCTCACACACATTTGATTTAACGTTCTATATCATCATCTTGAAATTTTGAAATAGTTTTTGAACCAAAGACCCCACGTTTTCATTTTGCACTGTACCCCACAACTTCTATGGCTGGTCATGCTCTGAATTTCCAACACTTTGGACTAAGCCTGGCACTCAGCAAGTGCTTTGTGAATGTTAAAAGTTGAACTGAACAGGGGCGCCTGGGTGGCTCAGTCGGTTGAGCATCCAACTTCAGCTCAGGTCATGTTCTCGCAGTTCGTGAGTTTGAGCCCCACGTCAAGCTCTGTGCTAACAAACAGCTCAGAGCCTGGAGCCTGCTTCGGATTCTGTATCTCTCTCTCTCCCCCTCCCCTGCTCATGCTCTGCCTTTCTCTGTCTCTCAAAAATAAATAAATGTTAAAAAAAAATTTTAATAAATAAATAAAACCACCTATTTGCACTGAAAAAACAAATTTTTTTTTTTATCTGAACCGAGCTCAGGGTGTCTGTCCTTCCCTCTCTCCTGTCTTGTTTCTAGCTCCTTCCTGACTTCCCTCCTGCCCCCAGACTTAAAGGTTGCCAGGCTCTGGGGTAGACAGCAACAAGTGCCTGGGTATGGGGGGGGGAGGCAGAAAAGAGTGGGGGTCGATGACCTGCTCCCTTGATGGTCCTAAGACCCCTTAGACTCTGACACATCCTCTACCAGATCACAGCTCCCTTGGGGAAGGCGCACATTTTCATTTTAAAATGTCAGTATGCACTTTTCATCATGTTTCAAAAACCTAAGGCTGAGATAACTTGTAATTGCCCTAACTCGAAACCTCCATAACAGAGGGCAGAGTTGCACAAAGAGGAGGTTGCCTGAGCCAAAGTGCCGTGAAGTCACGAGGTTAATGGATGACCTCAAGAATTAAAAGCAGACTGAAATTTCAGACAAGACACATCTCCAAAGGTTGATAAGTTTGGCCGGGAGAAGGGGTCAGGGTGAGGAAATGCTTTTTTATAACTGGAAAAAAGACAGCCCTTGGAAAATGTAGCCCGTGTGCAGCATGATCCCCTGTCTCGTCCGTTTTTCACAGCGAAAGGGGGAGAGGAAGGGGCCGTGAGCCCAGACAAAGGGGACCAAAGGCCTTGCCAGGATTTGCAGAAAGCAATCACAGATAAGGTTCTTTCACCGGGACAGTCAAAGCCGCAGAAAGCAAAGGCTCGGGGTTTAACACCTCGTCTAGCTGACCAGAGGTCTCAGGGGCTCAGACAAGCCTCAGAGAAGCCCAAATTAAATTGCCCTGAGAATGAGGGAAGTTGAGAGTCAAAATAAAATTAGGCTTAATTATTGCCAGCGGAGGGGCCGGTGCGGATTCCTGATTTGCCCACATGTTTGGCTATTTCTACATCTTGCTCTAAATTAGCCATCACTTTTTATATGTAGTCATTAGAGATTAGTTAGTTGTTACGCTTTGTTATTTAATAAATTCGACGGCACATAGACACATATTACACACACACACACACACACACACACACACAGAATCGGGGTTTTGTTTTCTCTTGTTTTGTTTTTACAATGCATAGAGTTGGGAAAACATTAAATATGCTTACAATTATCCACAACCATGGAGAGGCTTTCTGTTCAAGGGGACAGACCCCCACCGTCCGCCTAGTGGCAGCCCTCCAGATTGCAACGGAATGCCCCCCACCTCAGCGACAGCTTCAGATGGGGGCTGTGTCCCCAGGGACAGGAAACTGGGAGGGGACCTGCCTGCTGTGAGATAAGCCTTGGCCTGGGCCTGGGGGTGGGGGGGGGAGCCACTGCATTTGAGACACCAGATGACATGCCTGAGCAGGCTAACTCCTCTGCTCCGACCACCAGCCTCTGCCCCTTCCCTCACCAGCCTTAGATCTGAACCTCATCACAGCTGAACCCTGTGAGCAAAGGTTCAGGGGTACCCAGAAGTGCCTTGCTGGGTGGATGCTACGGTGACCCAAGCCTTATTCTCACAAGGTGGCTCATTTTTAAAATTCCAATGAAGATGACCCTTCTTGATTTGATCCCTGAACCGAGTCTAAACAGAAACACAGCACCGCTGGCAACTCCGGAGGGGTCACGAGCCCCTCGGGAACATAATGGGAGATGAGATTATCCGTGCCAACTTCATCAAGCACGTGGAGCAGGGCGGGGGGATAACAAATTCGGGAGCCTGGGGCCTCGAGAGATCCCAACATATAACCTCTCAGGGAGGCGTCCCTAGTTACAGGAAGCCCCACCGACTAGATAAAAAATTGCAACACGTGTTTGAGTCCCTGAGTGAGCCA